AGAGAGAGGAGCGAGAGAGAGAGTAATAGCGAGCTATACCCAAACACCCTCCATCCACCCTTCTTTTTATTTGGTGCGCCTTGTGGTTCGATCCAAAGTTCCTGAAAATGGCTATAACTGGAAGTCCAATCAAGTTTGGCACGCCCTAAACCAGTCTGGTAAGCGCGAAAGGCTAAGAGTTGGCACGTCTTGTCAAAATCCGGTGACAAGTTGGTTTAGCTGGTTTGCATACCCTATGATAAACTAGCCACTTGGTTTTCTGCCCCTATTTAGCAACACTGGTGAATGTTGCCCTTTTTTATTTTATTTTATTTCTAAGAAAGATATAAATGGATGTGCTTTTCCATTAGTTTGGGCAGGCCAAATTGACTTGCTTGATTGCAACTAGGCTGCCTTTCAAGCCTTTCTAGTTGGCGGTGCTTTTCATAGATCTGAAAATGCCTAAAATAACTTTCATAGATGAACTTGTTAGAGACCACCTCTTCGCCTATTGTTATTCTTTTCTTATTTATTTTCTAATTTTTAGTTTCTTAAGCTTTTTCCTGCAGAAAAAAAATAAGTGTAGAGCCTTCAAAGTTCCATTGTGTGCATGCAAAAAATAAAGAAACAGTATTGTCTATTACTTCTCTAGGAAAGACCCTTGTAATATGTTCAATGAGATATAAAAGTGAGTCATGGATGCACTTTGTGTTGTAAATACATGCTGCATGATTTGCATGGGGTTAGACCATCATTGAGTATGTTGAATTCTTCTTTCATAGACAATGTTCGCCTTGAGTGAAGATCCCCAGTCTCCTGCTCCTTTATTTCATGTGGACAACAGCAATGTTGTAGTAAAATAGATGCTCAGCAATCTACTTAATACCAAATCCCCTACCTGGCCATGATCTTGCTTAGAAAACCCCTTCAAATGTTAAAAATGGGGGGCAAATCTGTAATCTTTTGATATCAATAAATCATGAAGATTGAGGTTTTGTATGATTCCGAGTCTCAGCATTACTTTTCAGATCACCTGGGCTCAATATCGACCGAGGACAGCATCAAAGCCCTCTGCTAATGCTTTGAAGTTGAACATTTCTATCAATGATAAGGAGGCAACAATCCTCAACACCTATTCAATTTAAATGTTGGAGAATGCATTTTGTGACTTATATAATTCTGTCTCAACAGCAGCTTTAGGTTCAATGTCTTTGCTTGGGTTGCCTGTGATTGCTTTCTTAATAAAGGAACTGCAAAATGGAAAAGAACAGAGATAAAATATGTCCTCTGAACTTAGTGGGGGGCTAGTTTTACACCCATTGGTTTGGTTTTCATGCCTGTCGTGCCAATTTACATTCAACCCTTTTCTATATAAGAGGAAGTGGTATGAAATGGGTGTGATTACTAAAACCTTGGGTGTGAATAGTATCTTTCTTCCTATTGTTTTCATCTTTAACTTTTTTGTCTTTTCTGCTGCATTAATCCCGTTTATGTCTAATTCTTGACTACACAACCTCATTTCTTATTTAAGTGCAGCTTACTATTGTTTCTGAGTATGTCCAATGCCCTTCGGTGCAGGTGTCAAAGATACTGTTGTATCTTTAGCAGAAAAGAAGACAATTAATAAGGTCAGCGACTGTTTTCTAATTTTCAATGTTTTTGCTAGTGGTGTGTATTTGGATTTTGATTAGGCATCAGCTACTGAAGTTCATACAATTAGTTGACTGCTATTTATTTGTGAATTGACTAGGACTGTGATTGTATCTTCTGTTAATACTTCTGCTGTCGTAATCAAGTGTTTTATGTAATTGTGATCGTCTGTATATCTGCTCTGGCTCTTGGTTTTAAAATTGACATTAAGAAACTCAAACTAGCTTTCTTAGTCTGTGGAATCATGTGATTTTAGACAATATATGTTGTACTGTATTTACATGTGGGTCGATGGTTTGTTGCTCTATCTTGGAAGTCTTTTACTTGGCCAAATAGCTTTTCATGGTTTAGTAATGATTGATAATCATAACAATGTCTTTCCAAACTAGGTGACTTTGTATTAGTTTTGGAGGAAGTTTTATACTTGTCCTATTTCGTTATCTCTTTTTAATAAGTCTTTAGGGATTCTATTGTAGATGAGGATCATCATCATCATCATCATCATACATGAATCCTAGTCCTCTATTCTGCTTTGTTAGGGGCCATACCCTCAATAGTTACTATTTCTACAGGAGCAAATGGATATCTTGATCCATTAGAGATTGGATAGGTGAGGAAATTTCTTGTTCAGTTACGTACTTATTTAAGAACAAATAAGCCTCAGATCCAAGAAATCATATCTTCTACCCCGACATTCACCAAGGAAGCAGAAGCCATTATGAAAGAAGCTATTCAGGAATAGATAGAACTGTTTCTATTTTAGGAACAAACATAAATCAATGAATTCATTGATTATTTTGAGGTGTCTTTTAGTACAATAGGAATTGTTGAGAAAGATCTCTATCTCTGATTTGAATCATTCAAAATTTGTTTGCAATCGAAATAAAAAAATAGATGGAAATAGCCACAAGTCCCTGTATCTTTTTTCATTACTTCTAACCATATCTTTTTGGGCTTACCCCTTGACTTTTTTTAGCATTCTTCTTGAACTAACTCATACCGCCTAATAGGTGTTGTACTGGATCTGCGCCGCACATAGCCAGCCCACCTAAGTCTGTTCTCTCTCATCTTATCGTGTATTGGTGCCACACCTAAATTTTTCGGAATGTATTCGTTTCAAATTCTATCCCTTCTTGCCTTCCCACTCATCCATCTCAACATCCTCATCTCCACTACACTCATTCTATGAGTATATTTTTTGATCAGCCCATAGAGCAAAGTGGGTCTCATAGCGATCCTATAGAACTTGCCCTTCAATTTCATTGGTATGAAGCGATCTCATAAAATTCCGGTTGCACATTTCCACTTGGCCCAACCACCTCTAATTTTATGTGCGACATCTTTTTCAATCCCTTCATTTTCTTGGATTATCAACCCGCGATATCAAAAGTGTGCTCTTTTTGGTATTTCTTGGCCGTCAATCTTAATTACTTCCTCGTCTGCACTCTTATTATTACTAATCTTGCATTTTATGTACTCTGTTTTAGTCTGGTTAATTTTAAAACCTTCAGATTCTAGAGCATCCCTCCAAAGTACTAACTTTGTGTTGACGCCGTTTTGGGTCTCATCGATCAAAATTGTCACCGGCGAACAAATGCACTACAATACCTCATCTTGTAGGTGCCTAGTTAAGTTGTCCATATCTAAGATAAAGAGGTATGGGCTCAATGTTGACCCTTGATGTAGACCTATTGTCACTAAAAACCCACTTGTCTCTCCACTAATTGTTTGAACACTAGTTAGTGCTCCATCATATATATCTCTCACTAAGTCGATGTAGTGTCTGAAGATTCTTTACCCACAAAATTAAATCTCAAGGTACTCTATCATAAGCTTTCTCTTGATCAATAAATCTTGAGGTACTCGTTTCATGCCTTAGTCGTTAATCTCTCTCCCAGAGCTTCATAGTATGGAATGTAGAGGATGTTTTAGCTAATAGTAATATGCGTTGCAATGGTGTCTTTGTTGATATTGTTGGGACTCTCACTGGGTGCCACCTTGACATCTTGAAGCTCATGCAATTATTTGACTGCTATGTGTTTGTGATTTGAAAAGGACTAGGATTGTATCTTTTACTTATGTTAATACTTCTGGTGTCATATCCTAGTAAAGCGTTTTATATAATTGCGAGTTTGTATAATTGCTCCGGCAATTGATTTTTAAGTCGACATTAAGAAACACGAACTGGCTTTCTTAATTCTCTGTGGAATCATGTGCTTTTTATATGTTATATGTTTTTTCTTTACTGTATTCAAATGTGAATTCATGATTAATTCCTGTCTCAGAAGTCTTCTACTTGGCCAAATATCCGTGTATTGTTTGGTAATAATTGTTTATCATAATGATGTTTTTCTAAACTTGGTGCCATTGTATTTTCTTGGAGGAAGTTTTAAATTTGTCCTGTTTCGTTGTTATCTCTTTTATTCATGTCTATATAGGGATGCTAATGTAGAAGAAGATGCTTTAGCTGATAGCTGTGTGCACGGCAATACCATGCTTGTTGATGTGGTTTGGAGTTGGGACCATAACTAGGTGCCCCTTTGACATCCTCAGGGCCCATATCGTTTTTCCCTTTCTCCCATTTTAACAATACTGTTACTTAACAAAAACACGACAATGATTTTCTACCTGACATGTGGCATATGAGATAAAGAGGTTTCTAGACCTCGCCAGCAACTCAAATCTTTTATGAGGGAATTGATAAAGAAGATGGTGGATGATCTAAATAAAAAATCGAGTGTATTTGAGTGAATTGGAAAGTGATCTCATCGTAAACCTCAACCGGGCATCTTTGAAATCTTATGTAGAAGAATTCTAACAACTTCTTGGTACCTGATTTTGGCTTACCGTATTGGGGGATTTCTCTAAATGGAAAGGGGGTCTTTGCCTCTACTACTACGCATGAATGAGTCCTTTGTTAGATCTGATAGAACTTGAAGATTCGGAGTAACATGAAAAGAGATTCAAGTGTATATCTGATTGTTTATGCAGCGTTTTAGGAAGTGTCTTCTGGTTCACCTATCAGGCTTGGGTTGGTGTGGGTAATATATGGCTGTGTACATATGTGAGCATGAACATGTACTGAGGTTCTTTTGGCGTTGTATCATGTGAATTAATCTTGTATGACATGTATTCGGCGGAGTTCTGGATGCTTATGCATTTCATGGTACCTCTGAATCGGACTACCCATTTCGTCTCTAAATGTGGGAATATTGTTATAGTTCCTTGCTTCTTTGATTTTCATGATAATTTTCTTATCTATTGCTGTTCTAAACGCCTGTTTTGTTTGGGGTCATTTGTCGGTGGCTGATTTTTTTGTAGTTGCAGCAGGGATCAATCTTCTTACCCTGTTTGTTTGGACATCATCATTCATGAGAAAATACAACAATACCTGCTTTCTTAGCTTGCTTAGTTTGATCCATGAAATAGTGGATTTTCTCTTGGAAGATTTGGATCATGTCTTTAAGCAGCTCCTAGCAACTAGAGATTTGTTTTTTTGTTATATTTGAAAAGTTTTCCTTGTGATTTAAATTCGTATATTTTTTAGAAAAGAAGAATAAGAAGTCGGCAGCGGAAGGCGAAAGCATATGATCTCTTGTCTCTAGTTGAGTTCCTTCCGAATCTAGATGATCTCAAACAGCCCGCTCCTCATCCGTTGAAGTTGAAGGTGGACTGCAAAAATAGACGAAAGCTATTGTAAGTTATACTCAAGATTATATGTTCTCATAACACGAGTTTCTTTTAGTGGGTTTTAAGTATCACAGGTGTCACTGATCAGGGAAAAGGAACACGATCAGTTCAGAGCAGTCCTTGATCATCCTGCTTTCCAGTTAGACCCCATAGCTGCCGTATACCAGCATCTTGACCAGAAGTAAGAAAGGTGCTGCTTATGGTTCTAAGAGAACAAAACGATCAAAATCCAAGATATTACCTGACGCTCAATCCATGCTCCTGAATTGATATGCTGGCTTCGAATGAAAGTTCTTCCTTATTGTTTCCAAAAGAAAAAACAAGATAAGAACGTTTTGAATCCTGGTTATAACTGTTTCCAAAGTAACCCCCCCTGCTCTCTTAACCAAGATCCTAATCAGCTCATGCATGAATATATGGCTACTGTTATTCTTGGATGGGATTGTATTTTGTGGGGGGGAGGATATCTATTATTCATCAAATCGAATTTATTAAATTTATTATGTATCTAACATATGGTGGTTAGCACTAATGCTCATTTTCTTAATATAACATGTTTTCGAAAAAATAAGCTGACGCCCTAGCTCACACCACAATTTGGTAGTCGCTTTGGAAAAATTTAGAAATTTGGAGTACTTTAGGAAAGAGAAATTTATGCTAATATCCCTTGCAATTAGCTGAATTATACGAATATCTATAATTTATGTTTAAGTCTCTTGTTTTAGCTTTTTTTTTTACCAAAATGCCCGGATTTGGAATTGCGAGTTCCAAACAGATAATTTCATGTATAGGAAACTGGTTTGGATCTAGCAGTTTCGGTCGTCTTTATCACTGGTTTGGAATCATCGTTTTTGTGTACAAAAGTGGAAACATGTGACCCACCAGGTTGGAACTGCCAATCTCCAACTGGGTGTATTTAGGGAAGAAAGAGAGCATGAAAAAAAGAAGGGTGAGGTTTGTATAAGGTTCCACCTTATACTATACAAGGTACACTTTTATGTTTTGTCAGAAGATATCCAATGTCGATAACCTTGTGATGAGATGAAAAATTAATGATCAACTCTTAAATTCAAAATTTCAAAAATGGTGCAAATTTAGTAAGATCTTTTAACACTTTACTCTTGAAACTAAATAGTTTAGATCATAGTCGTTGGGTATGGGAATGGAATGGATCCTAGATCGGGGGCGGGAGCACATCAAGGTTATATTGAAGATCCTTGGGTCAGGGATCTATGTTTGTACAACATTAAATGTTGGGATCGAGGTCTATGCATGCAGAGATTCGAACTCCTTTATTACATGGGATTCAGAAGTATCATATCAAGGTGTGAGATCCCAAAAGCAAAGTTTTTAGTTTCGAAAGGCAATTTTTTTGAGTTCTTTAACTCAATGAGTGTATATATGGAGCGAGAAAAAACTTTTATAAGAGCAAGGGCCAATATTTTATAAGATCGAGATTTATCATATCAACGTGCGAGATCCTATATGTTAGAAGTGAAGTTTCCAAGGTTATTTTTTTGAGTTCTATAACTGAAGGAACGGATAACTAAAAGTGATTCAACATATAATGGAGCGGTGAATATCTTTTATATGAATGATCTCCTTTATTGCATAGGTTCGAGTATCATCATGTATAGATGCGAGATCCTAACATGTCCCAACAACAATTTTTTAACAACAATTTTTTGAGTTTCTTAACTCATAGCACACAAGTAAAGTGATCCAACTTATTATGGGGCAATGAATAATTTTTATAGGAGCGAGATTCATTGTGGAGAGAGAAAGCGGCGGAGTGAGAGAGAGCATTTACAATTAAGAGAGCATAAATTATGGCTTTGCAATTACAACGACGTGATAGAGCATTTACAAT